TTAAAACAATCTCAGGATGTAGATATGTTGAGTAGTCACAGCAGAAATCAAGAAGTTATCAAAGATCTTTAGAATTTTTGAAAGGTATAAGAAGAAAAATCAATACCTTGGTTACTGTTTCAGTCATCAGGTGATACTGCCAAGTCTCCTCTTCTCATTGTTTTGGTTTCTTTACAAAACCAGAACCATGGCTGGCAGTGCGCAAGCCCATGTGGTGCTGGGGACTGAATGATTGAATACAGGGCCTCTATGTATTCAACTACCTAATACTGCTCTTATTTTTCAAGTTTCTATATAGGTCTTTATTTGATTAGCTGAATATTTTGCTGCAATTAATTTATAAAATCAAGTATCATGTGAAAAACTGATAATCCCAGTAATGAAGTTTATGAATATCTTGAACTAAATAGAAAGTTAGAAATTATTAAATGCCACATGTGTCCAAACTTTAAATGCAATAGAAAAACATAGTTTATGATCCATCATTATAATTGTTTCCTTGCACATATTCTCAGTGTCCTTGCTTTTTTTTTTCTGTCCCTTTGCCATTTTCAACTAGGAAAGTCCCAACTCAAGTTAAATTCATCATTCTAGCACAGCGGGTAGGGCGTTCGCCTTACAAGCGGCCAACATGGCCGACCCGAGTTCGATTCCTCCGCCCCTCTCGGAGAGCCCGGCAAGCTACCGAGAGTATTCGATATGCCAGACACAGTAACAACAAAGTCTCCAATGGAGACGTTACTGGGCCCGCTCGAGAAAATCGATGATCAACGGGAGGGCCTTTACCTTTACCTTTTACCTATCTCACAACTACAGCCATGGAGTCAAGAGAGGTTCGAGAAAAAAAAAAAACAATCATTTAAATAGCACATGACTTTAAATCATACCCACTAACTTGAATTTTTGACACATTCCAAAATGCATCAAATGCGTCCAGAATGTATTCACTTTTTATTTTTCTATTTAACATCTCTTCACTTTTAAATGTCCAAAGCCAGAGTTAGAGAAAGAACACTGGGGCTAAGGCATCTGCCTTATGTGCAACCAACCAAAGCTCATTCATTCCTCAGCAATACATACAGTCTCTGGGCACTGCTGGGTGTGGTCCAAAAAACAAAACAAAACAACAAAAATATCTCCAAACCTTCTTTTCTACAATTACTTAGAATTCTTGGCCTTGCTTCAAATTTCACTAGGGGAAAAAAAAGAAAGCACAGAAAAAAATGGGAAATCCCTCATTATTTTATCTCCTCATCTTATTATCTCATTTCTCTTATTATCTCATTCCTACTTTGGACAAACTTGCAGGCTATCGAATGTAGCCTGCCCACAGGGCAGAGTCTGGCAAACTCCCCGTGGCCTACCAAATATGCCAAATACCAGTAACAATGATGGGTCTCATTCTCCTAAAGAGCCGTGAATATAATCTCAGGGCTAGGATGAAAGAGACGTTACTGGGGCCTGCTAGAGGCAATTGACGATTAACAGGATGATGAAATGAAATGAAAAATTCACCTTCTCATCTCTACTTACAAGCAGTGGTATGTATCTCCCACTTTGAAGAATGAATCTCATATAAATATATGACTAGATCTCCCAGCTGTGCTTTCAATAATCATCTTTTCTCCTACCCCAAAAAATCACTTTCCTTTTCTCCCATACCATTCCCATCAACACCTGAACATGCTACAATTTCTCATCAGTTACTGTTCCACTTTTCTGCTCCCATTTACATACTCAAAAAATTATCTTATATAATGTTTTTCCTTTCTTTCTGTGTTGAACTCACTAGAGCTTCCAATTCAGTGAATTTGTTCTTATTAACTTCCATTTTGCAAAATGGTCACATCTCTGTTATCATCTAAGTTTGTCCGTATCATTCTTTCTACCCTCCTTAATCCCTAAGTACTGAAATGTTACGCACCTCAATTCTCTTCTTTTTTATGTATACTCATTCTGGTCATGATCTCAACTCAATCTTATGGTTGTGAATACATTCCTTTTGCTGAATATTGCAATGTTTTATCTCTCAACTTAGAATGCCACTCAATCATTGATCTGACAAATCTATAAATTCAATGGGATGCCTACTATATACTGCAACTAAGCATGTCTGAAACCATGCTTCTGATTTCACCTTTCCTAGTCTTCTGCATCTTGATAAATGGATTTCCCATCTTTTCAACTGCTCAGGTTAAATCAATCTTCAATGCTTCAATTTCGCACATAGTCCACATTTAACCTAATTATAAATCCCATCCTCCTACTTTCAAAATACATCTGGTCTTCTGTTCAATTACTCTTATACTAACATGTCAATTGGAACTACCCACCATCACCTTTTTTCTACATTATCAGAACTGCCTCCTAGTCTCTCAACACCAATTCTAGCCTCTCCATGTTATATTGTCATCACAGATGTCAGAATGATACTTAAAGAAGGTAAATCAAAGGTTACTTTTCAATTTAAAATTTTCTAATAACTTTTCATTTCCCCCAAATCAAAATCCTTATAATAGTTGGCAAAGTCTTACTGAATGTCCTAACATCCTATTTCTCTGCTCTTAGACACCACTGTTCTCCCTCACTGCTTCCAATCTAGCACACGTATCTGCAAGACATGCCATAAATATATTATTCAACATCCTAAAAATCATAGGAAAATAAAGAATTTTTTTCTTTGGTTTTGTTTATTCGTACTTGTGAATACACGTAAACATAGTATACTCTCTGGGAGCAGAAAACTTTCAGGCATTTTCATGGGTTTTCTTTTATATGAAATGAACTTCTAAAAACAGAGATGAAAACTGCGTAATTTTCTTACAGCTGGTTTTCCAAACAAGTATAAAAATATGGAATAAACAATAAATAAAAGGTAAAGGTAAAGGCCCTCCCGTTGATCATCGATTTGCTCGAGCGGGCCCAGTAACGTCTCCATTGGAGACTTTGTTGTTACTGTGTCTGGCATATCGAATACTCTCGGTAGATTGCCGGGCTCTCCAACAGGGGTGGAGGAATTGAACTCGGGTCGGCCATGTTGGCCGCGTGCAAGGCAAACACCCTACCCGCTGTGCTATCGCTCCAGCCCCAAACAATAAATATGGTAGGAAAAAACTAGTTGGCAACTTAAGAGGAAAGAACTAGATTCTTACTAACCTTCTCTTCAAAGTCAATTGCACAAAAGAGAAGAGAAAACTAAATTTGAAAAATAAATAATAATTATATAAGAAACTATCAATGAATATATTTCTAGGTTAGGAAAAAAGATAGAAATAAAGATAACATTAAGGAGAAAGCACAAATTTATCTGTATAAAAATTCAAACTTCAATATTATTTTAAGAAGACATTATTATAACTGAAATATATTTTGTAAGTGAAAAAAAGACAGTTCTTAGACAGTTCTCAGATATAAAGTAAACATCCTAGATATATAAAAAGAACTTTAAAAATCAATAATAGCAGATGGACATTTCAAAGAAAAATTAGCAAAGAATAAAAAATGTAATCCATTGGAAAAATAAAAATGAAGATAAAAAGACAATTAGTCTCTAATAAAAAAGTTCAAAGGAAAAAACAAGCAGTACATCAACCTACTTAAGTAAACGATCTTTTTTATTTGCTTTATTTTTATTTTTCACTCACACTCAACTGTGCTCAGGGCTTATTCCTGGCTCTGTGCTCCTGGTGGTGCTCAGGGGACCATATGTGGTGCTGTGAATCAAACCTGAGTTGGCCACGTGCAAAGCAAGCACTTTTAACTGTACTATCTCTCTGGTCCCTTTTTGTTTTTTGTTTTGGTTTGTTTTCAAAATTATTAAAAAGAGGGGCTGGAGCAATAGCACAGCAGGTAGGGCGTTTGCCTTGCACACAGCCAACCCAGGTTCGATTCCCAGCAACCCATATGGTCCCCCAAGCACGGCCAGGAGTAATTCCTGAGTGCATGAACCAGGAGTAACTCCTGTGCATCGCTGGGTGTGACCCAAAAAAGCAAAAAAAAAAAAAAATTATTAAAAAGATATCATTCAATGATCAGTGTCAGTGTATGTATAGGCTTTACTAATTTTTAGAGAACAACTTGAAAATATCAATTTCTTAAGTGTACAGTTTAATCCAGATTTTTCACTATTACATGTACATATTTCAATGCCATAATTAGTAAATTTTCAAAACTGTACATGTAAATATTCACCATAATGTTTCTAGCAATTAAAATTATTGGAAATAGCCTATACTTAACAACTAAATTAATTTAAGATAGCCTTATTTAAACCTTGTATATTCACACAACAGAAATTTGTAGGTGCTATGTAGGTGCTAATGACTAGTATGAAATGTTCTAAGATATGATGCTAAGTGAGGGGGAAAAAGGCTCAAAAACAACTTGTGTGTCTATTATGATTCTTCCCTATAGGTAAGAATTTAAGATTTTTTTTCTTACTTCTTTAGTTTTTTAAATTTTGCATGAATTGTGTCTTTCTGTACATATTTCAAAACAGACAAAATAAAAACTTTTATTTGGAAAAAATGTGCTGTTAAGATACACAGGAGGCCATCTCTGTACAGAACTAAAAACTTGGGTGTCCAAAACAATAGCCACAAAAAACAAAACCCATCTGATGGTGTTGTGAGATGGGATGGGTGGCATGCTGTGCTAGGGACAGATTCCAGAGTTTTGAACATGCAAGCTTTGAACATGCAAGTTACATACTCTCCACTTGGGTAACATCCCTAATCCTGGGAGCTTCAACTTCTTATTTGTAGTCTCTGAACAATCAGGTGGACACAATGTTCAAGGTTCAGTTCATTATATTCTGCAGATGGTTCAAACTACAAGACAGCCCATATTTTTGATAAATTGTATTCAACAGCAAGGTGATAGGGCTCTATTTTAATTGGTTAGACCATAAAGTTTAGTAACATAACTAAGAATACAAATACACCTGTAGAAATGTTTTTCAAGTGCAATAAACTAATACGTCAATGAAGTAAAATGATTACCTATCTCCCTTTGGTTTTCTTTTCTGTAGTGTCTTCCCTTTAGGTCTTCTTTCACTTCCGACACAAGGGCTCCCACCAGGTCCTGTTACCCGTATCGATTCAAGGCCTTTGGAAGATTTTTTAAATGTGAATTCCACTGGCTCTCCTTCCTTTAGGCTTCTAAATCCTTCCATGAATAATTTGCTCTGTAAAAAAGAGAGGACAGAAAGTGATCACTATTACCTATACATTATATATTATCTACATAATTTCAAATTTAACATAGCATGATATTCTGCTACAATTATAAAATATAGAGTAAGTTTTTAGGAGCTCAAGTATTTTACACCATTTTAAAGTTTTCTGTTGTAGGCTCCAAGAGATAGTACAGAGGTAAAGGCACTTGCCTTGCTTGTGGTCAAGCCAATTAATACATGGTCCCCTGAGCAACATGTAACCCCTAAAACCCACAAGAAGAGACCTATGAAGCTGAAGAGATACTTCAGAGTTTAGGCATTTACCTTGCATGCTTGGCCAATGCCAGAAAAAATCCTAGAACCACATACGGTCCCTCGAACATCACCAGCCATGATCCCTGAAGTCAGAGGGGAGTAAACCCTGAGCACCTTGGGGTATGGCTAAATCTCCCAACCTCCAAACAGGTTTCTATTTCAAAACTTGTTGGAACAATAAAGTAATTCATTGAAGCAATGTGGAAATATCTGTAAAAATGCAAATGTGCAATGTATTCTTTGACCAATAATTCCACTTCCAGTAATCCATAAACATACACAAGTGTTCGAAGAAGGGCCTAGCACTAGCTGATAAAATAGCAGTATATTGAAGACTTCAAGATATTTCTATTAAATAAAAAAGTATTGAATAAAATTAACTTACTAGATTTAAATTTTAATTAAATAAAATTAAAATAGGATTAAATGTAATTATTGTAGTTACATAATGCAACATTATCCAGCCATTAAAAATTTCATATGCTAGGAGATGTCTCAAAGGGCTGAAATTCTTGTTTGGCATGTGGGACCCTGGATTTAAGTGCTGTGACCCCATGGTCTTCTAAGAAGTGCTGGTAGTGGTTTCTGAGCAAAGCAGGGTGTGGCAAAAAATGTGGGAGACAAACTGCCTGATAAATCTGGCAAGACAAATATACAATATTGTTAAGCTAAAAATGAAGGGTAAAGAGTAACGTACTTACTAGAATAACACCTACATAAAAAAAAATTTAAACTTACATGTTCATTTGTGTAAAGATACACACCAGGCTTAGATATGGGTTTTGGAACAACTAAAAGCACATCATAAACTATAGTGTCTGAACTTTGTATAATTTGAAAGAAGATTTTAATAATTTTAAAGGTGACAAAACAAAAGGTTTCCTGGTTGCAAAAAAATACAGCCTTGGTTACAAATATTACTTGGTTCTTCTGAACTTCCTTTTTAAGTCTAATGTCAATTTAATACACTAAAATTAATCAGTTTTATTATTCTTCAACCCTCTTCTGCATATTTGACATATCTAATTTGTAATATCATGAATTTGGTGACAAAAGGGAGCAAAACCAAATATGATAGAAGACATAAGACTACTCCAGTTCTTTCTATAAACACCTGTGTAACAGTCTTGAATGAGAAATATTTTTCTTTGCTTTTCCATAAATTTATGAAGTTTGCGGTTCCACATGTATATTCTAAAGAACAATGCTTCCAAAAAATATCTTCAAGATATAAGAACTTTGTGTTCAAGTACATTTCAAGTAAATTTTTAAAATGTTACTTAATCTTTCTCCTTAATTGAGCCATATTAGCACTTAACAGTTTCAAAAGTTAAGGACTTTTCTCCAAGAAATAAAAATTAAATTAATAAAATTAATTACTGTTTAATTACATTTAACATAGCAATTTCCTGATCTAATTGATCCCAGAGACCGTTCTTTCTTTCTTTTTTCCTTTTTGGGTCACACCTGGCAATGCACAGGGGTTACTCCTGGCTTTGTACTCAGGAATTACTTTTGGCGGTGACCAGGGGACCGTATGGGATGCCGGGAATCAAACCCAGTCTACTGAGTGCAAGGCAAACACCTTACCTGCTGTACTATCATTCCAGCCCTGAGACCTTTATTTCTAAGTACAAATGATGACTATATGAAATGAAATATGAAATGAAAGTATCTTGGCCCCTTCCTCTGGTCTTCACCAGAGTGAGCTACCTGGTCTCCTAAAACTGCTTTGGTGGGGAAAGGGGTGCACTCCCACCAAATATAGAGGAAAAATACACAAGCAGGTGTTTTGGGGGTGTCCCCCAGAAGTACTGAGAGCCCCATTAAGGACCACTGCCAGCAATATTCAGCCCAGTAATAAAAGTCGGATTTAATGTCTGGGCTGGGTCCAGTAGTACTCAGGGGACCAGGCAGTGCTCGGGATGGAACGATGGAACTCTAGGCTTCCAGACAGGCAAAGATAAACAATCTGTCCAGCTCAAGAAAGGGTGGGTATGTGTGTGTGTGTGTGTGTGTGTGTGTGTGTGTGTGTGTGTGTGTGTTTGGGGGAAGGGACACTTTGGGCCTACTCAGTGGTCCTAAGAGCTATCCTTGGCTCTCTGTTCTGAAATGCTTCTTGGCCGTGCTTAGAGAACCAAATACAAGGGGGGCTTTAACTGGGGTCAGTTGCATGTACAAGAAGTACCTTACTTCTTATACTACCTCTTCTGTCTATTAAGTCAGCAATTCTAAATAGACCTATCATGTATTCAAGTTTTCTTTCTCTAATAAAATTACTGCTACATAATGAGAAACTTTAAAAGATGAAAAATTATATTTCTTTATAACAATAAACCTCTCTGACTTCAGAGTATTTGGAGGAGTGAGAACAGAGGCAGTACTCTGGGGTACTCTGGTTCTATGCTTTGGGGCTACTCCAGAGGTGCCGGGGAACTATGAGGTGCCAGGAATACTACTGAGGTCAGCAGTATGCAAGTGTCTTAATCTCTGTAATATCTCGTCAACCTTATTTGATATTTCTCAAATGAACCTTGTGCATTTTTTGCTTCATAATCTGTTAAACTTGCCCCAAACATTTAATGGGATTATGACAGCCTGATTTCAGGTTCTATCTCGTACTTGAGTAACAATATATTAATGTAAAACAAAAAAACTGGAGCCTAGAAAGGAGTACCGTGGGTAGGGCACTTGCCTTGTACACAACAAACCCAGGTTCAATTCCCAGTAGCTACCCCATAAAGTCTACCAAGAGCTGCCAAGAGTAACATATGAGTACTGAAACAGAAGTTAAGTCGTGAGCACTGGCAGGCGTGCACCCAATAAATAAATAAATAAAATGAAAACAAAAACCTGAAAAAAAAACCCACTAAAATATAACATGCCAGGAGTGAGTCATCTCTGAGCACAGAGCCAGGAATAAGCCCTGAATACTGCAGGGTATGGCCTAAGAACCAAAACCAAACAAATAATGATGTTCTTTCCTGATCTCTGATGAACTCTCTTCCATAGTCTTTTCACAACTTAATGTTATCCCTGAATACATCTTACTGTATTAGTCTCCTATCTCAGAAATCTATATTATACTTAGGTTTACAGCAGAGATCATTCATAATCTTGCTTCCAGTTCTATTTTCTACTTTCCTTCTCATTATTCTGATACACAACTTCTCCACTAATAAAACCAGCTACCTTTTCTTCCTTAGACCTACTTTAAAAGCCTCCTCATTACTGTACTCCAACTTAAGCCAGAAGGAATGCATTCTACTAGCCATACCTGGTATCAAAACAGTACTTAAGATTCAAGGCACAGTCCAAATAATCCTTTATGCAATCAGCCTCAAATGCTCAAGCTGGAATTTTTCTCTTATTTCATTCACTTGACTCTTTTGAATAGTTTTTACAAACCACTGCTGTGTAATGCAACAATCTAGGTATGTCTTGCTGCTAATTTCATTTTTCAGATGTATCTTTCCCTGAGAGCTGGGAATTGTGGTAAGTATCATAGCCTACTGCCTGCAAATAGCTACCACTGAACAGAGAGAGGGGTTAGGAGGAATGAACAGAAGGGTCTTCTTTGGTGGTAAGACAAAGGCAGAACATTGGTTATAGGCGTGGTGATAATTACACAAATACAAAGGTATGAAAGTAACCTCCCCCCCAAATCCTGGATATTATAAACCAATTATGAGTCAATGAAACATTTTTTTTAATTTCTTATACCTTTAATGCCAGAGTGACACTCTGTATGATACTTTCAGCATAAAGCTAATAGCAACGTAACAGTCCGTGGTAAATAACATTATTTCATAATTCCATTCAGAAGTTAATATGGACCTATTTGATTTTACTTTATTTTTTTCTTACTCATGGAGCGATAGCACAGCGGGTAGGGAGTTTGCCTTGCATACGGCCAACCCAGTTTGATTCCTCCATCCCTCTTGGAAAGCCCGGCAAGCTATGAAGAGTATCCTGCCCGCATGGCAGAGCCTGGCAAGCTCCCCATGGCATATTCGATAAGCCAAACACAGTAACAAATCTCACAATGGAGACATTACTGGTGCCCGCTTGAGCAAATCGATGAAAAACGGGAGGACAGTGCTACAGTGCTATGTTTTCTAATTATCCTCATTGCTATACGCCTCTGCTTATCCAAACCAAGAATACAGATTCACAGCAATTTTTGTTTTAATCTATATTAAAAGACTAACGTCTGAACTTTTGGTGTTCTGGTCTACACTGTCATCTACATTTGTTCTGTAGAAAATAAAGGTCAATTATGTATAGGGGATAAGTCTCCTCACTGAGTCATTAAATGAACAAAGGAATGGGCATATAGAAAAGCATCTAGAATTTGCTGACATTTTTTACTAAAATATCATGCACTTACCATGAGGCTGGCAAATTTAAATAGGTACACATTAACTAAACTAACAATTCCAACAATGGATTCCTGTGCAATGCTAGGAGTGACCCCTAAGTTCAGAATGGAAGTGCTTCTAAACACTGAATACATATGTATATAATGTGTACACATGTTGTCTATATCATGTATACGTGTACATGCATGTAGATACACACAAGCTTTTTATTTTCTTGCTATATTTATATTCACTTTTCCCAATTTCCTTGCTATACTCCCTTTCTCCTCACTATTACTTAAAAATTCTTTTGAAAGAAGAAGATGGAATCAT